ATAGGTTACATCAAAGTATATTGAAAGATATTAAAGAGCATTGAAGAATATTAGAGTATGTGAAAGAATATTAAAAGATGTAGAAAGATATGAAAAGATGTGAAAGGATATAAAAGAATGTTGAAAAATATTAAAGAATGTGAAAAGATGTTTAAGATCATTATCCAAGTATAACTATTCTACCAAAATTAAAAATAATCTTCTACTAAACTATTCTACTATATACATAAATATCATATTACAAGATAATAAAAATATAAATCATGAATATTAAATAAAATATAATATTTAAAAATAAAATAGAAATATGATAATAAATATAATAATAAATGATATAAAAATAGAGATAATTATAAAATGAATAAAAATTATAATAAAATGTAGTTTTTTATAACTAGAGAAAGATTAAGGAATTAAGAAATTTTATATCATTATGGTAATAATATGATCTGATTTTTATATTATCAAATTTATATAGCCTGATTTATATAATCTAATTTATGTAATCTGATTTATTGATTTGATTTGTAATATGATATTTAATTAGTAGTATAATTCTAGTATAATTTATATAAATAGAAATTTTATATAATAGAAAATATAAACAAGATATAATTATAATAGATTATTATAGAATATAAGAAATTGAGATTATAAAATTTAGAAAATAGAAATATATCTAAATAAAATACAAATAAAATAGATTTATACTAATATATAATAAGAGAAATTTGTCCAGTTAAAAAGCTAAAATATAATTGAGATTGAAATATAATAGGAGAGAATATAAATGAGATATGATTATATGAATATTTATATTAGAATATATTAATTATTTGCTTTATTTGATTAGTTATAATTTTTGATATAGTAAAAAATTAGATTATATAATAAAATCAGATTATAAATCAGGCTATTTTTACTATAGTAATATAAATTTTTTTAATTTTTTAATTTTTTTAATTTCTTAATTTTACAAATTATCTTAATTTCATAGATTATTTTCTTAATTTTTAATTTTAGTACATATATTACAAATTTTATTTATTATTATTTAATTTTATTTACTATTATTAATTATATTATTTGTATTACATTTTAATATACTTTATCTTTAGATATTATTTATTAGTTTTTAGCATAGTATTTAGTTCTTTATTTCATACTTATAATTATATAATATAGTTACTAGCAAATTTCCAGCAAAGCTCAAATAAGTCTGTATAATTTTAAATATGTATAAATAATTTTGCTCTTAAATATTAAATAAATATACTTAAAATACTTTAATCTTTTTAATTATTGCTTTTATTTATCTTTTCTATTATAATAAATCATATCTGGTTAATACTTATTTTACTTGTCTTAAAAATATAAGTAGTAAAAAACCTCTACTTTAAATAAGTCATATCATTTTGTTTTTATTTTGAAAGATTCTGCAAGCTTTATCTAAGTATAAAAGCTTTAGTTTAGTATTTATTTGGTATATACTCTTGTTTTATTTTTGCCTTTTAGTTAAAATAATACCAAAAGAGGATTAAGTGAGCATATCTAATCTTTTATTATAGTTTTTAGTATTTGATATCACTTTTTATTTCATATATATCCTCTTCTTTATTTTTACAAATTTGAAAACAATACTTATAAGTATTGGCATATGGAAATCTTTAGAATAATCTTGATCCCACTTAATATTATAAATAATTCAGTCTTAGCTCTCAAAACTTATTATAAGCTATATCTCAAGTAAAACCTACCTCCATAGTAATAGCTTATAATACTATACATCAAGTCAGAAAGACAGCTCCAAGTTTAAAAATTAAATCAATCTTATTAGCATTAAACCATTTGTCATTCTCCTTTTGCTCATTTATCTTTTTTGAAATTTAATTTAATATGGCTAGTTCTTCAAATACTGTCAATGTGGATGGATAAAGAAAGTTAAGAAAAAATCTAACACTCAAGAATAAAATTGATATCATTAGAAAAAAGAATATTAACGTAAAATTGAGCAATGAAAGGTTGGCCATAGAGTTTGGTATAGAATATTTTATTATAAGTGGTATTCTTTGGAATAAAGAGAAATTCCTACAGTTATATGAAGATGCTAAGTATTCAGAGCTAAAGAAACTCGCATCCAGAAAGCACAATTTCAATCATTAGAAAAGCTCTTTATAAACGGTTTCAAGATTTACATCTAGGATTTATTAAAAGTAAAAGCAATCAAGTTTTATAATAAGGCTAAGAACATGACGCACAACTTTCTAACTTCGAAGCATCGAATAGATGGTTGGATAAGTTCCAGAAATAATATAATATTAGTAACAAAACCATCACTGGTGAAAGCGAATCGGCATATCTTGACCAAGTAGAGAAAAAGATTGCAAGAATTGATAACTACGTTTGACTTATACAACATTTATAATGCAGATAAAACGGGACACTTTTTCTGATTAGGCCCAAATAAAATACTTGCAACAAAAAATGATAAAGCGAAAGGTGCTAAAAAGGATAAAGAATGTATTACAGTCCTATTCCGTTAAAATGCAATGAGAATGAAAAACTCAAGCTATTTGTTATAGGAAAATCCCAAAATCCTCGTTGCTTCAACAAAATTAATTTAATGATATTGCCTGTCACATACTTTAATAATTAAAAGGCTTGGATAACAATTGAAAAGTGGAGTGAATGGTTGAAATGGTTTGACAATCAACTATCCCAGAAGTTATTGTTGATAATTGACAATTGCCTGCTCACACGGATGGTGCTTCCCTCGGCCCCAAAAATTTATAAATCGAATTTCTTTCACCAAATACTACAGCTTACATTCAGCCATGTGATGCAGGAATTATTCGCAATTTCAAAGTCTATTATCGGAAGAATCTAGTGTCACAATGGATTCACGAGTTGAACGAGGGACAGGAAATGAGAAAAATAAATATTAAAGAAGCAATAGAAATCGTCGCAGATGCTTGGGATAGTGCAAAGCCAGAAACGATAAAAAATTGTTGGCTAAGCACGAAAATACTGCCTGCAGAAACAACTCTTGCCATTACAGATGACATGGATATAGATCAGACTAATGATATAGCTGAATTAGTTTTAGCTCTTGATAGACTTAGTATCGTAGATAGTTTAACAGCAGAAGAGTATGTTCAGATAGATAGTAATTTGATCAGTGCAGATTTACCCACAGAAGAAGAGCTCATCGAAGAAATTCTTCTGACTGAAGGTGTATTACAACAGATACAAATAGATATGGAAGAAAATTTAAGTGAAAGGGAAGAAGCAAGTATATCCATAAAGGTAGGAAGAGAAGCACTGCGACGGCCAAGAAATTTTTAGAGCAAAGAGAATTTGCGACAGAAAATGATATTAGATGCATGCGCAATATAATTCGGCGCTTAGATGAATCAGTAGAAAGGTCGAAACGTCAAACGTCACTGATAGAATTTATTAACCAATAAAATTGCATGATATTATCTATTGAAACGCTATCCCTTAGTTATATTCACCTCAGATATATCCCCAAAAAGCTTGGGTCCCAACATGGGGATATAACTGAGGTAGAACTGTATATTTTTTCGTTTTTGCATTTCAACCTCATGTTGGCATTCATCTTTATATTTGCACTTTGTGATTGCATTTACTTTATTCACAATATTAATAATAATTTAATAAATTTTCGCGAAATTACGCTCATGAACGTATTTTGAAAATTGTACCCATTAAAAATAGCATACATGGTTTCAAAATAACACCCATGGACGCGCACCCCATTAGCAGATTACGTATTGTGTGTTCGTCAGTCATATGTTACAAGAAAAAAAAGAGACTTAATAAAAATGAAAAGCTTAATAACATAAACGCGAAACTGAAGATCATAATAATCTTGACAGCCGGAAAATCGGGAACAATTCACCATTTTTCGTTATTGTTGAGATATGAATAACAGAAGTAAGATTGGAATCATGAGGTTTCCAATGGAGTTTATTGTTGTTGCGATGATTGTGAGATAAAGGATCGCATTTTTAAAAATTTTAAATATAGAAAAAAAGCATAATTTTTAAATTTATTGTTAGGAATCATATCGAACTTCCATTTGTGCTTGTAAATTTGATTTCTAAACATCCTATATTTTACATGATAAAATACAGTGTATAAATTTCATTATTTATAGCTTCAATATTTTTAAACTTCAAATAAGAACGAATAATATATAAGACACAAATTTTGGGGATACAATTAAATAAATCTTTCTTTGTTCGGAATTTTTTGTTTGTGATTATAAGTAGTTTACAATTGATTAATCATTCGAAATTATGGAACTTCAAATCTAAGCTATGTATCGATAACGTATAAAAGGGTCGCGTTTCTTCGTTTAATTCGATTTTTTTGTCGCAAATTCAAACAAGAGTTGCTTACCAAAAAACCTCATTCCTTCCTTCTATATACATATTACATTTTAAGATACAGACTGATCTTCTATATCTTATTGTAATCTCTAAAAAACACTTTCTTTTTAGAAAACCTTAAAAAACATAATCATTTATTCCGCACTCCTTTCGATCCACACCCGAATTACGCATTAATCATTTTAAAAAAGATAAATGAAGGTTTTTACAGCGTTGGCTCTCTTAATGGTAGCTATTTCGCTAACCACCGATGCGGTACCCATCTCGCAACCATCCGTAATCCAACTTGAAGAAAAATGATTTACCCGATTCTTATACTTGGCTCTCAAAGATCAGTAAAATTATGCACTATTGAAAAATTCGAATATTCGATTGCATATAGTCACAAGTTTAGTTGGTCAAGAAGTAATCGTAAAATTAGAAGCTGCCTTCGCTCCAGTATTTGGTACTTCCTCACCGAAAACTTTCCTCATTAATTCTAAATTCAAGACGTATAAACACTGATGATAGCAATGACGTCACAGCAGCGATCTTGCTAGCAAAAGCAAAAGCAAAAACACGGAAAAAACGGCGATGATAACAAGAATGGGCGGTAAAGATAATAACAATACCAATAATGGTCAGCCTGATAATTCCGGTAATCGCCTGGTAATACAGCCAATGGAGGCGCTGTCGACAGATGAAGGATTTGACATTGGATATCACGGATCAATTGAAATAGGCAGACAAACGTTTACTGTAATATCCGACACTGGTTCATCTGATCTTTGGATGCCATCACAAGCATGTGTCGATGCAGCTTGCAAAGCTCACAAATCGTATGATCCGAAAGAGCAGAGTGATAATAAACTATTCAAATTAAATATGGTATTGGTGAAGTTTCTGGTATTATTGCCGTGGATGATGTCTCAGTCGTCGGTGCATTAGCAAAAGGACCAACCTTTGGATTTTCAACAAAAATATCAGATTACTTAGGATGGATGAAGCTTATGGAATACTCAGAATGGCTCTTGATCAATTAAGCACACAAAATTTAAAAGCATCTTTCACTCAGTTTGTTGCCAAAAACGCAGTTAAAGATTCAGTATTTTGTTTCTTCCTCGAACGTCAAAAAGACGGCAGCAACAGCCAATTAACTCTTGGTGGTGTTGACTCTTCAAAATTT